CGGCTACCTAGCCAATCATTCGAATTTAGTTTGTCTGTCTGTTTTTCTGTTGTTGCTCTTCTTGTCTTTTGTGTATTTTTTTTATAACTCTGTGCCTACAATTATCTATAATTTTGTAATTAATCTTGGTACCTCATTTTAATGAGCCAGATTTGCCATGTACATGCTTCTATTAAAGAAATTGCGATGTTTCGCATTTAAATTTGAATCTATTGTTGTTTAGGTTTTCACCTTAAATTAAAAATACATTTAGGAAATATGCTTAACCCTATCCGTACGTCGTGTTTTACTATCGTATCCATATGACGCGAGGAGCTCAGTGCCACCACTTTCGAAAGAGGAATTTTACTGGTTAATCCGATCCGTACAATTTATTATTTAGTCCCAGCAGTCTGTCAATTTATTTTTTGAGAAATACTGAAAGTTTCTAAAGAGATCTTCGTCTTCGTAGTAGAAATATTCTAAAATGTGAAGAGTACAACCCCGGGGCACAAAATGACCCCAGGGCATACGGATAGGGTTAATATTCTTGATTGGACTTAAGATTCCCTTATTTATTTATTTTTCACTTTCCTACCTTTCCCATCCTCGAGAAGCAGTATTTTCACGCAAATTCCTTCTTTAGGTGGGCTGAATAAAAATATAACTAGCTACTATAATAATGAACATAGTCGTCCCAATTAGAATAAATACATTATAAATTTGATACAGTGTACGTTAGATCGATTTTTTGTACTTACCTCATATAATAAATTGTTGTTATTGTTATTAATATAACAGATTATAACAAATACGAACATTGTGTTCATTTATTTTATTCAGGATTATTGACTAGGATTATGCATTGTGAGGAATAGTGATATATAAGATGATTCAGGTCTGTTTTGTATTGTTTGTTTGTAGTTGTTTGTTTTTCTTTTTTTTAATTAACAGCGGTAACTTGTAGCCTCGTCTCATAGTCCCAAATGCAACAGGCCTTTGAACAAACCTCTGACGCTAGAAACTGTTCCGTTACCTGGCATACATCTTCCTTTTCTTTTCACGCATTCTGGTAAGTGAGGTGCATGTTCTTTAGTTGTTAGATTTTTGTCCTATTTTATGTCGAAAATGCTCTGATATTATAAAAGAATGCATTAACATTACAATGACTGTCGCAAATGTGAATTACTTGGTGTATTTAAGTTCATTTTGTCAGCGATAACGATAATTTTGAATGGACAAATAGCAATGTGTCCCAGAAACCTATTATCGATATCTGTCTTTGCCACACCTATCTAATGATAATCGTTGATGACAATCATATTATTTTTTAGTTTCATCTAGATCTATCT